GGAATTATAATCACTTGAGGAGCGTACTAATTGAGATTTTGATTTTGTAAAGTAAATCCCAAGTACTTTGCAAGAAAGAGCAAGTCTCATTTCATCCTGCTATATCTCATATTCCAATGACTTAGATAAAAGTGGGGTCTCTATGATAAGTTGCTCACAAGTCATAGGAATTTTAGCGAGGAATAAAGAGTATGCAATTTTTTATCAAAAGGTAGAATGAAGTTGGAGCATCTATGACTAGTTATATTTTAATTTGTTCAAGATTTTTCTTTTAATTATAGAGAGTGAGTGTGCACAACTTAATTTTCAATATGTTCATTGTTTGCGCACCTGAGAGGAGCTGTTTGTGGGTCGTCTCCCCCACACTTGTTTTTGTACCTGCTTTTTATTTTTACTTGGAGACAATAGAGTATGCAAAAACAAGTGGAGACAAATAACAGCAAGTATTCTTTATTGAACCATAAACAATTAATAAACAGGCTGTGTTACATGTATTGGGAAAAAGATTGAAAATGTAAGGTAGAAATAAAAAATGCACGCCTAATTGTTTGGGCAAGAGTGGCCCTAAATATCTAATCTAGAGCTCCTTCCACTCCTGCAGCCCTCGCCACTTTTAAAAGCCTTCGGCTGAAACCGAAGCGAAAGACATTGTTTTCGTGCTGATGGTCCCTAGTCTTAATTTGGCTATCAGCTAGTTGGCTTTTAAGCATCCTGACATCCTCGCGTAGGTTTGTGATTTTGTTATTAAGCGAGGTGACAGTGGGACCTTGTGGTAGCAGCGGCTCATCCTCCTCCTCAAAGATAGCACATGGCCTTAGGACTGGGGGCTTATTGGACCTCCTGATCCTAAGGGGTTCGGACGATGAGCCAGTTGTCTCTTTCGAGACAGACTTTTGGGCGAGAGTTTCTGCCGGCCCTTTTCCTTTGGCCGGCTTGCACATGAGGCCTTTCCCATACCCGCCGTCGGGGTTTCTAATGCCTACCACTGTGTAGCTACTACTAAAAATAGTGTTGCCCGAAGGCGTTACATGGACGCTTTTCGACGGTGCAGCGCTTTCCGTGGCTTTTCTTTTGAGGCCGACAGCCCCCAAGGATGGCCTAGGCTCCACCTTGGGGCGCCTTAGTCCTTGCAATGGACTTCACACTAGTGCCACCACTTACCTAGCTACTCGGTGGGGGCATGATGGCCAGTGGTGCCATTGTGACTGCTTTCGCCTCCTCTCTCACAAATGTGCTCTCTAGAACTAGGTCTATGGAGTGAAGCACTCCTTCTAGGTTATAGGTGGAGCTGGAGCTAGTGTATAGTGCTAGCACGTTGTTGGCCATGGCTTGAGTGCTTTGGAAGAGTGCTCTGGAGAGGGAGAGGAGAAGGCTTGTGCTTTGGTGCGAAGTGAGGAGAGGCCCTAGGGGTGGCTTTTATAGGGGTTGGCCTCCACTGCGAAGGAGAAAATCTTTCTGCGCAACACCCATGAGATAGCGATGCCACTGGGTCATAGAAGCTTATTGCATGGATAGAGCTCGAGAGGAGTCAGGGGAGGTGCGGCCGCACCCAGGGTGCGCCCACACCCTGAGGGGCTCCTCCCTGACTAAAATTTCTTCTACAAGCTCAGCATGCATGGGATATTCGTACTCCTTGGTTTTCCTATTTTTGTCTTTAAAATTCTGAAGATGATTGGGCAATTTTGTATAATATTCACTTGGATCAAAGCATATGTATGTTGTCATTTTCACATGGTTTATAATTATAAGTGAAAAATACATGCGAGCAAGAATCAACACTTATTAAATGCAAGCATGTGTTAGAGAAATATTAAGATTTTTCATAAGTCTGCAGTAAACTTGTCAAATGAGATTAATTCAATTTTATCATTTTCTAGATTAATATCATGAGAAGGCTCTAGGAAATTTTTAATCTTTGACTGTTAGCTTTAAAAATGTTACCGTCATCATCTTGGGATGGTGATCGCGCCATGTGACGATGTGTTGATGACGGTGTACGGTCCTTGCCATTTGCTTCGTAATTTCCCTTCACCGAAGAGCTTGACTCGGGAGTTAAATAATAACACTTTGTCTCCCTCCTTGAACTCCTTGTGTTGGATTCGGTGGTCGTGCCATCTTTTGGTTCTCTCTTTGCAGAGCTTGGCACTATGGTAAGCCCTCTCTCGTCATTCTTCTAGCTTGGCAGTTTGCTTTTGTCGGTTCTTGCCGGCTAGCTTTGCATCCATGTTCCAGTTCTTTATTGCCCAGTGAGCTCGGTGTTCAAGCTCAACCGGTAAATGGCAACTTTTCCATAGACAAGCTGGAACGGCAACGTGCCAATGGAGGTTTAATAAGCTGTCCTGTATGCCCAGAGTGCATCAGGAAGCTTGTTCTTCCATCACTTTCCCATTTCATTGACTGTCTTCTGTAGGATATTTTTAATTTGTTTGTTTGAAGTTTCTGTCTGGCCGTTGGTTTGCGGATGATACGGGGTGACCACGTTGTGCTTGGCCCCAAGCTCCCTTAGGAAGGCTCTAAAAGTCTTGTCGATGAAGTGAGACCCTCCATCGCTTACCACCATCCTTGGTGTTCCAAAGCGAGAGAAGATCACTTCATGGATCTTCCTTGCATGCTTGGCGTCAGCAGCTCTGCATGGCAATGCTTCCACCCACTTTGACACGTAGTCAACGGCAACAAGGATGTACTCGTAGTCTTGGGACTTTTGGAATGGCCCCATGAAGTCAATGCCCCACACATCAAATATTTCTATTTGAAGATTGTGGTGGAGGGGCATTGCATTGCGTGAGGTGATGCTACTTTGCAGTTGGCATTTTGGACACCTTCGAATGAATTCTTTGGTGTCTTCGTATATCGTTGGCCAGAAGAATCCGCACTGCTAGATTTTGGCTTGTGTGTGGAATGCTCCATAATGGCCTCTGTACGGAGCTGCATGGCATTTTTCGATTATCTGCACACCTTCCACCGTGGGTACGCATCTCCTTAATAGGCCATCGGAACATATCATGTAGAGGTACGGGTCATCCCAAAGGTGACGTCTGCTCTCGGCTTGCAGCTTTTTCTTGTTTTCGTCCGGTGGTACGTATCCTAAAACCATGAAGTTCACGATGTTCGCGTACCACGGGTTTGAATCTGTCACCTTTAGCAGCATGTCACGTAGGAAGTCATTTATTGGTAGTTCCTGCATGTTAGTGACTTGCATACACGATAGATGATCGGCGACAATGTTCTCTACTCCCTTTTTATCTTTTATTTCTAGGTCAAATTCTTAGAGTAAGAGAATCCATCTTATTAGGCGTGGTTTTGCATCTTTCTTAGTGAGCAAATATTTGAGTGCAACATGATCAGTGTGAATAATTACTTTTGCTCCCACTAAGTAAGATCTGAATTTATCAACAGCAAAAACAACTGCAAGAAGCTCTTTTTCAGTAGTGGCATAGTTAAGCTGGCCCCTGTCAGTGTTTTGCTAGCGTAAGCAATTGCGTGATGTTTCTTATCTTTGGTTTGGCCAAGGACCGCACCAACAGCATAGTCACTAGCATCACACATTATTTCAAAGGGCAGCGACCAATCAAGTGGTTGGATGATTGGCGCTGAGATGAGCACTTTCTTAAGTATATGGAAAGCGTCTAAGCACTCATCGGTGAACTCAAAGGGTACATCCTTAGCTAACAGGTTTGTTAACTAACTTCTGACCCTTATGCCACGCTTTTTTGTTGCAACGCCAAGATTTGGTTGCATCAGGGGGTGTTATTGCAACCATTTGCACTTTCGGTTGCGATAGATGAGATTTTTGCCACGCAAATTGTTTCGTGGCCGTAAGTATGGAAATCATTGTGAAAAGTAAGTGTTATCGCAACCAATTGTAGAACAGTTGCAATAAGTGATCATTGTTGCCACGATTTGATTTGCGTTGCGGGCAGTTCTATTGGCGTTGCAATACTAAGATGATATTGCAACTCTTTAGTTGATGGTTGCGATAGCCCGTCTATGTTACAACGAATATGTTTCGTTGTATGTAATTGTCGTTTGCGTTGCAAAAAAAAGTTGTACATATAGCAACGAAAAAAATCATTGCAATCACTAAGGTTCAGAGAACAACGCTTATAGGAAATTAAAAAAAAAGTGGTGTAACCAAGATTTGAACATGAGACCTTTGAGACTAAAGGAAAGCTACTCACCACTACACCATAGTAGTATTCCTGTTATAAGTAGCCAGAACCTTATACTTTGCATGTCTATGTTGCGACCATTATGCTTTCGTTGTATGTAATAATTTCTTTCGTTGCGAAAAGGTTGAACATATAGCAACCAAAAATTACATCATTGTAATACCTAAGGTTCTCAAGCACAATGGTTAAGTAAAAAAATAAAAAAAAAACGCCATTCACAATGGTTAAGTAAAAAAATAAAAAATAACGCTACTCACAGGTTTTGAACCTGATACCTCAGAGCCCTAAAGATAGGTACATGCCATTAGACCATATATGCATGTGTCATTGGCAGCCACAGGAACCTATACAAATTTATGTAGACCCATCTAGGTATTGAAAGAGGATATAATTATTCTGTACATACACGTAGATGCACTCGATTGATTTCCCAGGCGGTGTCGCGGCCTCTTTCCCCAGGCGGCGTCACGGCCATCCCTGCAGCCAGCGTGGTGGCAGCCCTTCCACTGATCAGTTCCCCATAGACATAGGAAACTGAACACAAGTTATGCACACCATAGACATTAACTGCATATAGTGGTTCCCATCATCATGGCACTTGCCAAATATACATTAGCTCTTCCAAACTAACCTACCAGGTGTCGCCAGATGTTGCCACAAACTACTTACTAAGTCTGGGTTATAGTGGTTCCCATCAGAGCAGCCAATAAACTTATACGACATAGTTGTAGTGGTTGCAGACATACCAACACACTACCTACCAGCATCAGCATGCACTACTTGCATTTATTTATACTACACCAAAAAAGAACAACCACATCAGCATGCACTTTAGTTCCTCGGCTTGATCTCCTGGTAGAGCTTATCAAACCTGTTTTGAACATCACGCTTTGCCTTCTTCGCATACTTGTCCGCATAGTGATCGATGGAGCCTATGGCATCGTCCTTAGCCAGCTCAATTGTCCATTTCAGCTTGTCAATGGCTTCAGGATGATGTTCTCCGAACTCAGAAAGGTAATAACTGTCATCAGTGTACAAAGCAAACGACCCAGACTTGTCTTCCTCATCACTGTCATCGGGAACCTTCAATTAAAATAATTACGGTTATTACTGAACAAAGCACTTAGAAACAATAAAACATAGTTGTGTATGCTGTCATGACTAAATTGAGACTGAAACAGGACTCTCATTTTCCTTTCATCACAGTTTGTTTGGTGAAGGTGCACGAGCAAGCCAATAGAACCTACTCCCTCCATACTAAAAAATAAAGTCGTTTTGGCCAGCGACACGGTCTCCAAAGTATTACTTTGACTCCTTGTTTTTATAAAAATATTTATCAAAAAGTGATATATGTATATTTTTATGAAAGTATTTTTCAAGACAAATCTATTTATATGGCTTTCACATTTCCAAACTCAACAACTTTAAAGTTATTCATGATTTATATTCCCAATGTTTGACCCAAGCCTTGTCCAAAACGACTTTATTTTTTAGTATGGAGGGAGTATACAACAGGTGTCATCCAGTTAGTCAAAACCTGCTATCAAAGTATCTGAATTTTTAAGGCAGCAGCAGTACAGTTGCTTAGAAAATCATAACTAGAGTTCTAGACAACGAAAAATTATATTCTTTAACAATACGGAAAGCCCATGAAATTCACTACATCTTTCTAGTTATTTCTAAAATCGGATTCTGCAGTTATCAAGGTTGAAAATCACAAAGGCCTACTGCTGTGCAGAGCAAAGTCAAAACCTGACAGGCTACATCTAAAATTCATAACTCCCAATTCTCCAGGGCTCAAATCATGAACTTTCACGATGACAAACATCTCTAAACCCTCTATAACTTTGGTATTATCAAGTATCACAGAAAAAGTAATTTACTACAGGGAATAATTCACCCAATTAGAACTGCACAAGCTGCAGTTTTCAGCACATATGATAAATGCAGAATCATCCAGCTCCCCTCCATTCTTAAATTAATCGGCTAGACCATCCAAAGTTTAGCTCTGAACAAAAATAAATATATATAGTATGAGCACCAGTATGAATGTATAATGCCAACACGACTAGCATGTGGTTCCTTTCCGAACTACAAACTTTACCGCTGTTAGTTACCTCACTATTTGTTTGAACCTATGAATGAAAAACAACGCTATAACATGCTGTGCATGCGCCAAAACCAAACCTACAAATGATTTTGGGCTTAGTATAATTGATTTCAACATATATAAGATATATCAATGTGGATACAGATGCATAAAGCTTTAATAGAGAACTTTATAGCTAATACACTACTAACATGATAGCAAAATTTCTGAAATAAAGCAAGTTCCTAGTAAACTAAGAGTACACAGCTACATCAAAATAAAATAATGCAACCCATATTGAGGTCGTCCTATTTTTTCTAAATTTAAATCAGAGCAAGATTATGTTGGTTTAAACTGCTCAACCCACGAAACCAAACTGTTCAACCTTTGGGGGATCAAATTCCAAAGAACTAATCTAATTTCCAATAGAACCCCCTGAATCATTGAATGCACAATGAGTTGCATCCAAATAAGCAATGAAGTAGGCAGTAGTACATACCTACACATCCAACCAAGAAGTTGAAGAAACATTCGAGAAAAAAAGAAGTTGAAGAAACCGAGCTTCCTGTGTGAGGACCTCCTCCCTAACATGCAGGGGGGAGCTAGCAGCCGGTGAACATTCCCCCCTCTCCCTCAGATGTTGCTTTGTTGCATGTGCAGAGTGCTTACATACCTCTCAGATGCTATGTGAGATCAGTAAGAGAATGACGAGGTTGCAAAAGATCAACAATGATGAACATGCTACGCAGTTCTGCTACAACGGATGTTTGCCCATGATACTAGTAAAGCACAGTACAGATTAAAAATACTTGAATCAGGTTTTTGTTCCTCTCTTGAAACAAAAGAATCACTGAAAATGTGCTAGCATAATCTTTACAAAATATTCTGTAACAAGAATAGTATATTAGTTCAATCAACAAGGACTAGAACCATCCATGTTTAGCAATTAAATTAACAAAAGAAAAAAATCTACGAACAGAACCACACTAGATGCACCCTGAAAAAAGACTGAATACTTGAACATGTGCGGTTAAAAGATACAGATCGAGATAACTTTCATCCTAGAGAGTCGATGAATATATAACAACGAACCAGAACCTAGTTCATTTCTCTAGTTCCTATATATCTGCTTACTAAGTTTTTGGGATGCTAAAATTGGACCAAAAAGTTAAACTCAAAAAGAATACATTAGTACTCTCCTATTAATAAGAAAACAATTTGAAGATCTGTCTTCTCCCAGAAAAAGAAACAACCAACCAACGCAAGCTACCCTATTGCGAGTTCACTGGACCAAGAATCGCATACCCTTGAAGAGGTACTTGCAGATCCCATTGCGGTTCTTCTTGGGCATGATCTGCGGGAGATCAAAACAGACACGAGATTAACCGTTACAGAACAAACGAAAGCCGAGGAGGAGCAGCGGAATGAGCCTCGTGGGTACTCGCTTACTACTGGCATGGATGGCCCCTGCAGATCCACGATGTTGGCCTATAAATTTAAGCAGGAACATGAACAGAATCTGGAAGTTTCAAGGAGGCTGCTAGTACTTAACAGGAAAGAAACAAGGAAAGCGCCCATACCTCCGGTGAGTCGCCGGCGGACGAATCTTGGCGAGGCCGGCGGACGGATCGATGAACTCCGGGCGTCGCAGAGGGGCCGCAGCAGGGGCGGGGCGTGGCCGCGTGGAGGAGGGGAGTCGTAGAGGCGAGGCCAGAGGGGCACCAACAGGGATTGGTTGTGGACGAGGGAGGAAGCGGATGGGCAATTTCAGTAAGAAACAACAAGTGAGGGATTGCCGGTCCTTACTGAAACTGCCCTGTTCATTTGAATCATTTCCTCGTATCTCCGTTCCCGATCCACGATCCATCACGACAGTAGACACCATACACCATTTTTACTTGAACCATAATTGATGTCATCTATCTTCTATGGTTCAGCCTTCTAATTTCAAGAGAAGGTCCCTACCACTCTTTGACTGGAGATCCGGCCTGCTAGAGGATCTTCTCGAGTCCATCGGGCAGCGTCTCGCGTCAGGCCACGACGCGGCGTCCTTCCGATCTGCTTGCTCCCCATGGCGCGCCGCCGTCCCGTTCGCGACCTTTCGGCCGCTCCTGCTGCTCCCATTCGACCCCGACTCGGACCGCGTCGGCTTCTACTATGTCCCGGAGAAGAAGGTCTTGTCCAAGACGCTACCCGACGTCCGCGGCAAGGTGGCATGCGGCTCCTCGTGTGGGTGGCTAGCGCTCATGGACGAGGCGGCGTCCGTGACACTGCTGAATCCATTCACCGATGCCCGTGCCCCCCGCGTTGAGCTCCCGCCAAGCAGTGAACACGTCGCGGCGACGTCCTCATCGGAACGCGTGTCTAGGGTCCACGGTCAGTGGGTCCTCCATCCCACCAACGGCTACGGGGACGCGGATGCCGCAGGCAGAGCCATCAAGCTAGAAGACATGAGGGACGTGTTCTTCCGTGAGATCGTGCTCTCGGCGCCGTCTGATGCCGCCGGCCGCGAGTGCGTGGCCATGGCCATGCTTGGGTACTCCACGGAGGTCATATTCTACCGGGTTAGAGTCGACAGCGGATGGACGCTGCTCGACACCAAACTAGAGTTTTCCGTGGGATCCATCGTCCACTGCCAAGACAAGTTCTTGGCGATCGACTGCACTGGAGAAATCTTTGTTTGCAGCAGCAACGCCGTCGACGCTACTCCAACCGCGACGCTGCTGCCATCGTTGTCGCCACCTACGGGGCTCTACCACCGCAGCTACCTAGAATCAAACGGTGAGCTACACATTGTGGGTGTCATAGTGAGCACGTTCCACGATACATAGAGCTTCACCTACAATAGCACGATCTACAAGTGCAACCTCCACGACCATACGCCAGAGTGGTCTAGGGTGAGGGATATCGGTGATCAGACACTATTTGTGTCTAAACATTTTAATGAAAGCTTCAGTAGAACAAGTGTATCTAAGTACAAGGAGAACAAAATCTACATGTCTAAACCATTATATGGGGATCCATATGACTTAGTCCATCGATTAGATATCGTTGATATTGCTATCGGCGCATCCGAAGTGAAGTCCGTCTAAAAAAAGATGCAGGGTTCTGAGGCTCTAGGTTGGATTTGACCCAATCTCTAGAAGAGAGGTACGTTGATATTCTTCAAAGGTTTATTACTTCAAATACTCATATTAGGGCAAGCGAGGTGGGATGTTTTTCGCTTCTGCACACAAGTAGTGGCTAAAAGAATTCGATATATGCCACATTTAGTTATTACTATTAGTTCGTGAACTGAGTTAATTCAAACAAAACCTTAACTGACGTACATTATATGTACGAATACAGCCAGTTCTCTCCTTTTATATTCAACTAGGTAGCGTGGTCGTGCGTTGCTACGGGACAACTAAATCTTTTATACTAAAAACACACGGATCGCACGATAAAATAACAATACTGTTAAATTAAATATTGACGTTAAAGTGACATTTAATTCAAAAAGAAAAGTTTATGAAATTAACACAGTCACAGAGAGCGCGGCGTTGTAGGCTCACAAACTCTAATGTATAGACTTTTTCGTGATATGGCTAAGATAATATTTTATATCGGCAAAAAAAATTCTCCGATATCCATTTCTTTTATACGCCAATAAATCCATGAATAAGTTCTGTTGTATCTCCATATAATCCTGTACACACAGGTTCGAATATATATGTAAATATTAGTGCCTATCACATGGATAATACTACGTGTTTTAAAAAATCTCTCATAAAATTTTAAAACAAAGTATGTTATACTTACCGTATAAATATGTGTGGCTTTAGGACTATTCCACACAGATATATATTGTAGAATAAGATATCCACTTGAGTGTCTGTTCTAAGATGTTGAATTAGGTGTTGTAATTCTTAATTTCGACATATTTTTCAGGTTAAAGCAACCAATGGTGACATTTTTCTTAGTGGTGCATAATTTTATGGTGCACCTCTTGACTATCTGAGTAAGGACAAGTTAGCATTGCAAAGGCTAAAAAAAGCTGCTAAGAAGGCCAAGGTTGAGTTTTCCTTTACTATGCATACTAAAATCTATGTCCCCATTTATCATTGCCGATGCTTTTGATGTAAAGCAATTCAACATTACCATGATCAGATATAAGTTTGAGTCTATTGTGAGCAATCTCATAGAGGGACTCTCATCCTTTATGTGATCTGCCTCAAGGATATTGGCAGGACGATGGACTCATATTGGAATGTCACACAAAAAAGTGTTCACGATTTATTTCCCATGAATACATGCGGATACTATGATAACACTAACTACACTAAATAAAAGATTAGAGAGAATTTGTATTGCCTCCAGAAGGATTTATTTATTAAGTTCTTTGACTCTATAGATAGTTTTGAAATATCTGTTTACATATCTTACATCGTATCCTAATTTAAAATTTTGTAGTTTATTTAGAATATTTAGGTGATTGTATATATATAATATTCAATACAAGAATAATCTAAGCATGATCTTCTTGAAAGATTTCTACGGTGTAAAGACCTCTTCGTTTTTCATGCATGCCCGTGTTAACGCTCCGGTAAAAACAAAATGACAATATATCAATTAAAAAATAAAAACAAAACTCATGCTCAAATTCAAAGAGATAAATTATGGATGCTTGAATTTTGTCATCCATTATCTACCGGCATGCCTATAAAATAGACTGAATAAACAATTAAACATAGATAGAAAACTAAATTAATGAAAGGATCATTGCAAGACATTAATCATCTCATAGCTTCGGACAATATCGCAAAGCTATAAAAAACTATAACCGTGCCCTCACCTCAATCATTGTCCAAATAAATAGATTACAATGAAAGAAATGGATATTGGAGATTTTTTTCTGCCAATATAAAACATTATCTTAGCCGCATCACGGAAAGGTCTATAAAGTAGAGTTCGTGAGCCTGCGACGCCGCGCACTCCGTGACTGTGTTAAATTCATAAACTTTGCTTTTTGGATTAAATGTCACTTTAATGTTGGTATTTAATTTTTACAGTATTGTTATCTTATCGCGCGATCCGTGTGTTTTTAGTATAAATTATTAGTTATCCCGTAGCAACGCACGGGCACACTACCTAGTCAAAATTAAAAGATCATTCAAAATTAGCTAAATTTGATTTTGAAAGAAAACAAATATGATTTTTGCAACAAGCCACTGAATCAGCTATTTTCATGAGAGTATTTAATACCCTGAAAATGACTATCCTGCCATGAAATTGTCTATTTTCATGAGAGTGATAGTTTTCATGAGAATCAACTTGGACCGCCATGAAATATGGGTTGTCATTGTTGTGAATTGATTTGTAACCTAAAATTTTTTAATTCAACCTTATGAACCCATAATATGATCACATACCAATTTACACAATTTTTGGACCACTTTTTCACATTATCATTATTGTTTTTCAATAAGATGCAAATAGAAGTTCAAATTATCCTTAACAAACATTTAAAATTTTTCATTTATTTTCATGATATGTGCTAAAATGGAACATATCTCCTCAATTATATTATTCATGGAATTTTCAATCTTATTTGAGATGCATGTAGTTCAATTGAAAATTACTTTAATAAACATTCATAAATTCATTTATGCTACAAAAAATGTTAATTAGTTAAAAAATTATCAAAACTCTGTCAGAAACAACTTTTATGTAGTCTAGTAATGTAAAAATATAGTTGGGCGTATATGCTTAAATATTTTGCAAGTTACTTCACAAGGGTTACTTAATTACTTATTTTTTGAAAAATAGAAAACATATTTTTTTATTAGCAATTGGTGTTGTGAATTAATATTTATCAGTGTGAAGCTACAAGTAAGATTGTGTACAAATTTTGTGTATATATGAGCAATGTACAAATTTTAATGTTTGCCTTCACTTATATGAAACATTGTGAGAGATGTATGTGTTTGTGAACAATGTATAGATCTGTGGCGGATTTAAGATTTTAAAGTTGGGTATTCCCAAACCAAAGTCGTCTATATCACTGGCTACACGTCGCACCGTATCATCGTGTCTATGTCCGTACACATGTCGTTGTGGTTCTCAGCCTTAGGTTCAAGTGGGAATTAAGATTAGAATGATACTCGAGGATTATCTGTAGATAAGGGACGGTATATGCACATGATGCCCAAGCATGTACCCATATGTGACTGAGGGATGGAGGAAGATCCAAGTTGACCGATTGGCGTGGACAATTATATGGGCTTCTAATTTTTTTAATTTAAGCTTATACACTGATAATATGATTCCACGTTAAGTTTTTTCCTACTTTTTGATATTATCATCATGATTATTATATTTAATATAAGATGCAAACCGAAACGGTGGCCTGGCCAAAATTTCTAGTCCCGCCCTGGTTAAAAAAACCGGCGGCCCGCTAAAATTTCTAGTCCTCGCCCCCCTCCCCCGCCGCCCACCGCCCTGCCGCGGCTGCGCTACATGGCCACAGAGATCCAGCGAAACTTTAGCGCGGCTACGGCGGCCTCTCACTTCCCCGACCTGACCCGACAAGCCCTCTCAAGAGAAATTTGGCTCCCAAATTTTCCCACCAAAACCACAAGACATAGTTTAAATGAATTTCTTTGTGTCAATTGGAACAAATTCCAAATTGAATTGTGTGTACTCCTACTGGAAAAAATTACGTAAATATTTATTTAAATTGTATGTATGCAAAAGTTATATTTGAAAAACTTTCCATATAAAATTGTGACATGAATTTGACCGTATTTTGGGTTTTACCGTAGCGTTATCAGGTGCATATACTACTAGTATTTTCTAGGATCTGTCTATTCCTCACCTGAGTGAGCG